ATCTATACAGTGATACACTGCTACATTTGCTGTTTACAACACTGTCCTGAACAAGCAGGTTTCATCTCACAAACCCACAGCCAAGCACAGCTATACAGCAGGCTACAGCTGACTGAGTTTGGTCCTTGAAAGAGATGCGATTACAACACCTGAGCAGATTGTGATCAGTGGATGAGCAAGGTTATCAGTAAAGAGGCTGGTACTCCCTGAAGCGTTAATGGCAGCCAGCAGAACTTAAGGTACAGCTTTATACTATCTCATTCCATTGCAGGCTGCAACCGAAAGTCAGTCTCCTTCCTTCTTTTCCCTCCCTTTCCTCACTGCTCATTCTTAATGCCTCTCTTGCCTCAGATCTACCCACTATGTTGCTACAACATGACTCAAGTTACCTCACTAAGAGTCGGAAAAAAACAAGAGCAAACAAACAAAAAATCCCAACCAACCTAAAGAGGAAGCAGTTTCAAAATAAATAACTAAGTAAAAGTTTATCCAAGTTTTCTCTGGAGGCACATAAATCACTGGGTCTGAGGCGTGGAAGAGGTAGGAACACATGAGCCAGGTTAACTGCCCTTTTTGACAGCTACCTGGAGTTGACTGTGTAAGATACAAGCACATCCCAAATCAGTCATCATGAAAAAATGGACAAAACTAGATATACAGCTTTGTTGCCTTGGACTGATGAGCACTACACCTCAGATACGCTAGCAGGCAGCATCACACGCTTGCTCCAGCGTTGCTGAATCTGCCTAGCTTGCTGTACAACTCTAGGGCAGAACTTGAGGGGTTGATTTAGCTTCCAGAGTTGTGGCTTTAACCGCTTCAGCAAGAAGCTGCTCCTATCAAGCTGGAAAATTTTTCATGTGCATAAGCTACCAACCAGTCATCAGAAACTGCCTTAACTCTGGATTCTGCTTCCCCCATTTTAGCTACATTACAGAGGAGCCCAGATTTGCCCATTTTCTAGGCAAACAAAGCTTTGAAGAGGTATGGTAAGCAAAGGAATAGAAAAATTTAGTGAACTTGAAAAGCACATCCTTACATATAGGGGCAAGCAACAAGCAGAGATAAGCAACAAGGACAAGTGCTTAATAACGTCTCCTCTCCAAATAGGAAAAGCCATCCACCTTTTCCTAGCACTTATTTTTAAATATCCACTGCCCTGAAGTAAGGGTTCTTATTTCAATTCTCTTTTCTTCAGTTTCTTCTTCTTAGATATAGAAAAGCAGGAAACACGTTTTCCTTAGCCCCTCCATAGTCTTCATTTGCACTAGGACAACTTAGGAAAATTGTCATGAGAGTCTGGGGCTACTGAATACACCTTCTGACAAAATAAGGATCACCTCCTACATAGTGGAGCCACGTATTGTTTCCACAAACAAACTTGGTTTAAGATGAACCACTGAATACTATAAGCAGCCTCACCACAGTAACACGTTGTCAGACGTTTTCCACCACACAATAGTCAGAGTAATCAAGTCACTGTTCCACAAAAATCAAGAAGGTAAGTGCAGTTGTTCCTCAGTCACTATACAAAAAAATATAGTAGTTTCATCTTATAAATTATGGAAGTCACTAATGGGATGTGCACCAGCTTTAGCTTACTAAGGTAACTATTTCCATGGAGACTTACAATACAAACAGTTAAAATTGCTTTCATATGGAAATGTAACTAAACTGTATATAGGATAATTAAACCACTTAAGAGCTCTTTCAGACAGCTTGAAATGATTTGCCAGGGAGGGCAAGTAGGACTGAAAAGGGAAGACTACAATTTTAAAAGGCCACATTCTTAAAATAAGGCGATTGAAGCAAATTAGAGCAAATATCGTTTTACTTACTAGAAATAAAATAGCAATTTTTTTCATTTTGAAGTTCAGCATATACAAGAATAGACACTTTAAAGCATACACACGTAGCACAAGTAAAATTCTTATTCTCCCTTTACACAAGCAAGGGGTTATTGACAAATTCACACAACAACTAACACAGACAACCAGTACACTACACACGCTTTCCAGGGAAGACTTTGAACCACTATGATTTGTCTGTTGTTGTAACCTGAGAGTATTTTCCACAAACTCACCACACAAAGTCTGTAAAGATATATGCAACTTTAAGCTAAATTTTTGTGTTTAAATATAATGCATAAATACAATAGCAATTGTCTGTCCAAATTGTCTTATGCAAACAGAACACTAAATAGCTTCCATATTTACAGAGAAGACAACAAAAGGAGGCCGAATGGCAATCATCAGCATCTATGAAATACTATTCAACTTTCAAAATCTCTCTTAACGTTTCATACGAGGCACGGAGATGTCAAAATAAGAATACAGTTTTGGCAGTACAGGAAGAAAACTGCCCAAATCCTCCAACTCCTGAGAGTTGTACACATGCAAGTGAGAATTGAAGGAGTATGCTTTGCTTTTTTATTTTTCCACCAGAACACTGCCTGTCAAAAGCCAGAATAAAAGGTCTATGCAGTTCAATAGTCTGTCTTCAACAGCAGCCTACAGTATGTATCTAGGGAAGCATGTAAGAACACGGCAAGTAAACAGTGATACTTGCCTGCTTCACCTACCCAGCAATCTGAAGTACGCAAATTTCCTGAGCCAGATATTCAATATTTGTGTTCATCAGCCCTCACTATTTTTTCTATGGTCTTGTCCAATTGCCTTTTGAAACCAAACTCTTAAAAGCTATACTATCTTTTAAAATTATATGGTGGACCTCATCACCATCAGTGGAGGAAAAAAAAAAAGTTTCAAATCTACTACCCAAGTGTTTCCTTGTTTTGTAATAAACAGCAGACAACCAAGTCTTATTCACTTTCTTTATGCCACTTACGGTTTTCTAAGCCTTCATCATTTTGCCCTCTGGGTACCTCCTTTCCACACAGAAGAGGACTAATTTATTTAGTACCTCCTTATACAGGAACGTTCTGTGCTTTTGATCATCCTCACCACCTTTCTCTAAATTCTGTAATTCTGTTACGTCCTTGGCATCTTTAGCACCCCCTTTTATTTATTTAATTATTGCCAAACATTAGACACAGGTTCCTGAGCACTTCAACTTAAAGAGTCACCTGCTCGCCCCAAGCTAAACGAATCCCTTCACGTTTACCTGCACATTTTTTCTCAGCCAGAGACTCAGTATGCACAAAGCCTGCAACTCTTTCCTTGGTTTTACTACTGGTAATACTCTATCAGCATTTCTATCCTGTTTCCCAGAGATGATAGCACAGACCTGCATAGGGGTCCCAAACTGACGATTTATTCTAACCCTATCTTTCTTTTTCTAGCTATAAACCACTTAATCTATGATAGGACTTCCCATTTACACCATTGCAGCCATTTTTCTTCAACAGTCTCTGGTGTGAAAGTCTGTCCAAGTAAATCTTTCAATACTAGAGAATATCAACATGACCCAGAGTTACTCACATGGCCAGCAACTCCTTTAAAAAAAAACCTCTACTGGACATGCATGGCATGACTTCCTTTTACCAGAGGTATGTTGACTTTTCCCCCCCCATTACGTTTATCCATGTATCTATCGATTCTATTTTCAGAGTAGAGTTTCTGTTACCAGTTTTTACCATATGAAACAGGAATGGCAGGGGCAGAGAAGTGTTAGAGTCTCTGATCATTGCTACACATTTCCTCCAAGACTCTTCAAACATCATCTTCCCATCGAGTCTCTAGCATCCTATCATTTCGATATTCTAAAATATATAAGGAAGTGTATTGCCCAATTTTATTTATATATATGTAGATATAAAAAAAGTGTGTTGTATACATATATAAAGAATTCTAGCTTTTTTATAGACACACATAGAAGTTTTTTTGCTTATTTGTCTCTACCTTGGTTTAAACAGAACTTCACTAGTTCTGGACCACTTTTTGCACCATTTCCTCTTTGAGCTATTGATTCTTATCCTACCCCTTGGATAAAATATAACCATAAGAACATCATCACTAAATGATGCAGAAACTCCAGCAGTATACTCTCATATAGTTTTTGGCTTTTCCCCAGTCTTCGATTCAACAACATAGCAGTCCTGATGTATTTTAATTTAAAATGAATGTCACTCTTCCCAAACAGGCTCCCTCTGTTCTGGACATTACCCCACTTTCTCATAAATCCAGCTCCATCTTCCCTTACACCCTTTTTTCCTCCAAAGCCTCAACGCTTTATTTCCTCTCTCTGTTCCCACATGCAGTACAAAGAACATTTCAGAGCATATTTAAAGTATCTTTACAAAATGTAAAAAAGCTAGCAAGTGGAGAGTCATCTCAAAACACTTAGTAGTAAAATAAATACCTAATGTTACAGCCCAATGCTGGAGAAACAACACCACCAAAGCATTTAAAGAATATTCGGCATCTACAACAAAACCTTTTTCGGAGAAACTGTTTCATAAGTAGAACTAACAAAGCCTGTTTCCTGCAGGCTTGCATCCTCCTCTACATCACTTTCATCATAACCTCACTGTGACTCCTCCCTACAACTCCCCTTTAGATTCTCTCCCACACACCCTAAACGGCATCCTTTCCCCTTCTCATCCCTTGAGTAACACCACTTACTTATGCTCCCTAATTACTGAGTGGGAGAAAGACAATTCTGTGGCTGTTTTCAAGCCATGCATGCACTAAATAAACAACCTGCTCACAGGCTTTGGGGTGGAAGGGGTAGGAGGAGGAAGCCACACAAAAGTCTTTCCTTTTACAAGGCAGTAATTTTCATGAAACTTGAAGGAACTTCACATTTCAAGATACATTGTCTACTGTTAGTGATTACTCCATGGAGGAATGGATAAACAGACAGCCAGAGCAAATGCACAAGCCTGTTTCCACCTTGGTTCCTCAGGAAACACTTCCCTCAGCAACAGCCAAAATCTTATCTGGTAACTCTGATTTTCATTCTGACTTCTAGTCTTAAACAACAGTTTAATTTTTTTTTAATTTGTTTTTTTTTTTTTTGGGGGGGGGGGGGAAACTCACCGTTTTATTACGAAGTCTAATTATGTCCGAAACAGACCCAGCCCCACAATATTCCATAACAATCCACAGATCTGTGTTCTTAAAATAGCTGCCATAGTACTTGACAACATAGGGACTAGATGGGGGAAAAAAATAGAGAAGCAGATGAATTTTCATTGGGAAAATATCAGCACAAGTTCTGTTAAAAATTTCAGTTTGACAGACAACAGCACATCCAGATAGCAAGTGTAACCAAATACATTTGAAAACAATAATTAGTTTAACCAAGGCCTAGTTAAAACAATGAAGTTTGACTGCTTAATAAAATGATAAAGCAACTACTATGTACATCATAAGCTTTCAGTGATAACTTAAAGAAACAGTTTTGCCCAATCAGTCTTAAGATAGAAAGATGTCTGCCTTTTATCAGAACAAGCTTGTTTTTCCTCTTCCTAAGACCTCTCCACTTTTAACTCTCCTCAGGAAGCTACTGTTTTTTTCCCCTTCTTCCCTCAGTACCTTGAAAAACCCCTTTGTTTTCCTCTCTCCCAGTACCAAGAAACAAAAAAAAAAAAAAACACCATCAACAAAAAAAGACAGACACACACACACACACTGCCCCATTTCCCCTTTTTCACATACATGAATTTCTTTCAAGTGCAGATGTAGGCTACTACCTGAAAACAGAATTTAGCATTGGTTAGAACAAGATGCCTGGATCTGCAAATCCATTTCCATACTGAAGTGTCTCATATGAAGATACAAATATAGTACTGTCATAAACAGAACATGTTGCTTTGCTATTCATCAACATGTTACTTGACATAACGCTTCCTCTGCGGCACTGACAACAAAGAGGCATAAACAGATGTGCTAAAGACGTAACAAGGATCTTCCTTCAGAACAGTGATTAGACGTGTTTATGGAAATAAAAGGAGTTTTTTCCAGGTACTTAAGCAAAGGAGGTTAGTCAGACTGGCATCAGTCCCTCAGAGCAGCAAAAAAGACCCTGAGATCTGTAACGCTGGCCCCTCTGGTCAGAACATCTACATTGTGGTGGAACTGAACACAGTCTTGTTCTGGAGCAAGGGACTGTGTTTTTGGATGGCGGCTTTTGGCAGCACGGTTTTTTATTAGAAGACCGCTCCTGCAACACAGTGCTATCTCACGCAGGACAGGTCAACACCTGAAACAACCGCACCTTTTCACAATATCGCAGGTGCTGCAAACTACACTATGTTAAAAAGCTACTGCCAGCGCCGTAAGAACATTCAATTCCCACCTACCTAACAAATCTAGAACTAAAACCTAACAAATCTAACAAATAAGAACTGCATACTGATCTTGCCCCTTAGGTATCCCTGAAGCGAGGAAGTTCACTGTCATTTCTGTAGAATAAAAAAAAACTTTTCAACAATATTAACTCCACTGACTTTTGTGATCATCTCCTATCAGACTTGCACTGTGTTAGCACTCCCAGCAAAAACTGTGTATTATTACAAATCAAGACAAGGCAATTTTAAGAACATCACATTTGCTTACAGCCTTGCCCCAACTAACTAGGTGAACCAGCAACTGCTTGCCTTAGAATCTCCTTTTTCCCCCCCGAGGAGGGCTTCAGCCCAAACACTGTAGCTAGCTCTAGAACCTAGCATGGAGGCGGGGGTGGTGGTGGGGGGGGAAGTGTTAAGATTGAAGCATCTTTTATTTAAGTTGCTCCAACAACCCAGGGCTTTAATGCAACATCTGTGGAATAACCACACAGAAGGAAGTGGTAAAAGGGTATGGTCCCTCCCTCCCATCAGCACTGCACAGTATTGTATTTGCATTGAGGAAGACAACACAGAAGCAAGCACACACTGCAGAGCTGCACCCCAACCTTCATTTTCAACCAGAGAACGGCTGCATCTTGTCCAAAATATTCAGCAACATCTGAATAAATACAGATTGAACTAAAAATATTATCTTCAAATCTGGGATGAGTACTGCTTATGGTCAAATAAGGACAAATTTTTCATTTAAGGACAAAACTTCAACACCGATACCCCAGGAAAGCAAAAACACAACTAAGAAAGTAACAGACCACCTGCTATAATACAAATTCACCAATTTAATGACTAAAATGATCAACACTTTAAAGGAAGTTTCTTCTAACTGGTGTGAAGTATTCCTTGAATTGCAAACAATAGACTTCTGCAGCACTGATTAGATATGAATAAAAAACTCATCCTGACATATCTGTTAGGGAAATTATAACCAAAACATTAAAAAGTGATACTAAGAGGTACACATGGAGTAGGAGGAAGCAGAAAAAACATTCTATAGAAGAGAGGAAACAAAATAATTTATTTCTGCATCCTTGCAGACGTTTGATGCTACAATCCTACAATACCAGCCATCATAAGATATATTGTTTATGTGGTGTAAGATAACAGCCTTTCTCCAAAACTATTATAAGACTGTCTGCTATTTAAGATATGTTCCTCCATGAAAAATGGCTATTGATATGCTCCTATTTTGGAAGTTAACAGCTAGCCATTAGGCTTGTCCTATAAGTATCTGTATTAATCTTCCAAAACAGTAACTCCAAATTCACAGAGCCTACAATGTTTACAGGAAATATTAACCTTTGGGCTTGGCAGTGCAAATAAAGTGATGCAAATGTGGAGAAATCAAAGCAGATACAACTATTTAGTCTTTCAATAATTTCTGTGAAGTACATCATTTGTACTTCCTTCAGTCCAAACTAAGAATAGGATTAGATCCTCAAAGGGGTTGCTTTAAGCAGCTCACTCAATGTAAATTGTTTCAGTTTTCCACATATGCAGCTGCAAACACTTTTCTAAATTTCTGTTCACAACACAATACAATTGCAAATACATTTTCACATAGATTCTTAGAAAGGGAGTAGAATTGTCATGCCTACCTGTCACATTGTTGCATTATAGAGATTTCTTTAATTATTTCTTGAAGATCTGACTCCACAGGGACCTGTTTAATTGCTACAACTTGTCCAGACTCTTTGTGTATTGCTTTAAACACACTACCATAAGATCTGAAAATAAGAGGGAATTAAAGTGTTATTTTTACAAGAGAATTTGCTTCTCATTTCTAGTAAGCATTACCTCTAAAATGTCACATAAGCCACATCTCACATAGAAGTTTGGGGTTTTTTTTCCCAGGGTGCAAGAATTCCTACTCTATTAGGACTTCAGAAACGTAATATCTCTGAATAATGAACCTTTGTCAAGATGTACTGTATCTGACCTCAGGATAGGCGCACACACCTTTGCTGCCATAGTAAGTGAGAGACATGACAAGAATGCAGGAGCAGCTTTGGGAGAGCAAGGAAGTTTATCAATGCATGCATTTGCTTTATTATTAAAATTTCTCTAGAAAAGATTGAGAAGCATTCCTCTGGCATTTTACAGTCATTGCCTCTGTAACGCAACGTTCCAGCACATGCTTTATATACCGTTCCCCTCTGATCCTTTCCTCTCATAAAGGGTTGCACTTACCCTTCCCCAAGTTTCTCCAGAACATCAAAGACTTCTTCAGGCTGCTTAGTTAAGCTGTCTTCACTTAGCTTTTTCAGTTTGCTAAGATAAAGACAAATTGATTATTGTTAATTGATTTTGAAGGAGGAAGATAAACAAAAAGAACTCGAGCAAATGTGTGAGTGAGTGGTCGGAAAAAAAAAAAGATTGCTAAGAAAAACATACCGCAATGAAAATATGGTGTCCAATTATAATGTACTAATAAAATATTATCAACTAAAGTACAAAATGAGGAAAGTTAAGACAATTTTGACATTACAAACTTCCTACTAATGTTTGCCCAAGTCAGAGCAGCATGGGACCAATTCACTGACCAACCCACTTCCTTGGCAAAGGATACATACAGGCCAGGAGAGAAACAAATCGCACAAGTTTGAAAATCATCCAGTAAGGCACACCTTTCATCACAAAGTAGCCAGCATGCAAATACAGGGTCATTACTGACCACTGCACTCTGTAGCATATCTAAGAAATACCCAGTTTCTAAGAAAGTGTGGATTTTAGTTACTTTTAAACAAATGAAATGTCTATTACATCTAAAATTCACAGCTTGTTCTGCAACACACCTCAGATAGAAGGGAACTAAAACCATTAGCACAGAAAGTGTAAGCAACTTAAATTAACTCAGCCATGTAAGTCTTCAGGGTTTTTAAGCTAGACCACTCTTCTTATAAACCAATGAATTACATTAAGTTAAAAGCAGAATCCAGAGTCAAGATGACTCTGGAAGCAGATGGCCGCATTTCAGCCTCACAAATGACAGCAGAACACCGAATTTCCAAAAGTCAAATACTCTTGAAGGAGTTGTAGGCACAGTTCACTGCGGCATGTTTGTGAATACATATAGGGACAATTACAACACAGCACCTCTAATTATGTAACTGCAGTATTTTTCCTCCAGTTTACTCTCTCACAGCCGCATATCACACTGCCATCTCTCCTAACATCTTCAGCCCACTCTCACCACCATCCTCAGCTCTTTACACTGTGTCCTAGTCTTTTCCCTGATCTCCAGTCCTCCTGTCCACTCAGCTTGCAGGTTCCTTGCAGATCTAAGGAGAAAGTAACTGGGCTGCAAGCTTCTGATGAAGCTACACTGAACATAATACAGGAAAATAAAACCAAATACATACTGCTGTGAGGCCGTATGGCTGCAACATGTAAATCCTTCACTCTAAAAGTTATAGGGCATTCTGCAACAAGACTGAATTAACAAGTTAAATCTACATGGTAGCCAAGGGGACTATTAAAGCAAAAGATGACCTGAAGAATAGCTGGTGCTGCAGTGCTAGATAAAGACAATATATTCCATTTGGAGGAGAAGAAAACTTTGAAGCACAGACTATCAGAGATCTTATGGAAAATATGTTACCCTGGGGCACTTTCCCAGAAAAGGATGCAAAACATAGCAAGGGAGGAAGGCATGAACAGAAAAAATTGTCAAATCTAATATCAAAAGAACAGTACTCAAAAGACAAACTCCTTCATATTAAATGAAGTAATTTGGTGATATAGAGAAGTAAAAAGATAAACGAAATGACTGTGATTGAGCTATTCGGTGGGGGACGGGACAGGACACGGAGGACTTGCTACTGCCAGTCATCTGAGTAAAGACAAAAATTCAAAGTAATCGTACAAGCACACAGGTCACATGTAAATTAGTGTTAAACAAGGAAAGAAAGCGCTGTGTGCACGTACACATACGTCTATATATTTATATATAAAATAACAATCTGACTGATGTAAGCAACCAATGTGAATATAAAGAGCATCCACAATCGGTGACGGAAGGTGCATGTGCTGCAGTAAAGACCACACAGTTTGCTACAACGAACAGATAGGTCACTGGAAATCATATGGGTTTAAGGGGGAATAAAAGTCCCCAAAGCAAAGGAGAAGAGCTGCTTGTGAACTGAAATCTTGCAGGGAAGCACATATTTCGTTATTGAATGAGTATAAACTGAGGCATAAATAAAAATGTAAGTATTAAACAAAGTACTAAATCATTAAGAAGCTTAGAAGCATTTTCTTTTATTTCAAATTCTTTTGTTTCAAATTCTCTTCGCCACCCCCACCCAGGTTACCTGTACCCTTAAAGATAAGGTTTGTGGAAGAAAAATTACTGCAATTGTCCTCGGTTTGCCACCAACAGAAAACAATACATTTATGCTACCAGCAATGCCTTAAAAACCTTAAATAAAAGACATGACCATTAGCTGAGTCTCTCGCTTAACTGAAGAACTGTGTAACAGATGACACCTTCAACAGAACCAGTGGCAAGACTAAACTTTTTTTTAGTAATTAGAGGAAAAAAGAAAACATACACTGACCTCTCCTAAAGAGGCGTAAGAAGAAAACACTTCCGCTTGGCTCACCAAAAGAATAACGCTTGCTAAAATAAAAGTTTCCCCATCTGAACCCCATTTTGAAGAAGCCTTCAAAATTTCACTTTCAAATGTTCCTTTCAGCAGTTCTGCTTCTTGAAAGAGGACTTCAGAATATGCTCGATACCTAAAGGGTTTCATCAGCTCCCTGATGCCAAGGCATCAGGGCTGCTTGTGAAGCACTAGGGAAGTGATAACGGATAGCCATAAATTGAATGAAACAAGCATTACTGTCAAATAACGAATATTATCTGGAGTACTTAAAAGATAACTTGGAGACCAAAGAAATAAGCACTCTAGTTTTAAAATGATTTTCATGTTTATCCCACTCTGGAAAACATTTTATGAGGTCAGTAACACTGACCAAGACAACTAAATACTAAACCAATTTAGAGGAGGCAAGATGTGTCAGCCACAGTAATTTCATCCCCAAATACACTGTTCAAAGTACTTCACACTCCTTCCCCGTCCAAAACATGCTGGAAAAGCACAGATAGCAGATCACAAAAGAACGCCAGTGTTCAAGTGACAGTATCAACACCACAGGTCTTTGAATCATGCAGAAAGTTACTAAAGACACTGATGGTTTAAAGGTCGGGAATTCTGTTAGACTTTCAGAGCTAGAAACCATTGAACTAAAGGCTGAGATAAAGAAAGCGTTTAAGAAAATTTAATGAGAAAGTGGAGAGGAAGACGACAGCTATCATAACTGACTACAAACCACTAAATGGAATACAAGAAGAACGGACTAGAGACACTAGCATATTATCTTGGTTAAGAACCAAGCAACTAAAATCGTAGTCAGAAAGAAACATCTAAAACTTAAGACCCAGCTTCTTAATCAAGAGTTGTGCGTGCGCCCTGCTAGCCTCGTTTTAAAGACATGCAAGACAAACAAGACACATTGAGCTAAACATTTTAGAAGCATCACTGCTGATTTAAAATAGGTATTTACTGCAAGTATTATAATGTTCTACACAATAAGTGCATACTATGAGCACCCAACACAATACCTATCTGCTAAGGCATCACCAGAAATAAGGAGGGAAAACTGTAGAGACAAATGGCTCAAGAACGCATAGCGATTAGAGTAATCGTCTCCTTGCATTCTTCTCCCCAAGGGGTCCTCACGACAGAAGCGTATAAAATAGAATAAATCAGGAACTTTTCAGGAACAGTTTTATTCTGGCTACAGGATGCAAGTCCCATATATATAACCGTGAGAAAGCCTAAAGGAGAAACGTAGAAGATAACTATAAACCCTAGGGAAAAAGTCATTCTGTATTTGTTTGATCTAGAAAGGTTTCCCATAATCATTAAGTAGCAATTATGAGCAACTTCAGTAATTATCCAGGAGAACTGTTCCTGCAAGCATGGAGACCAACTAAACTACAATTCTGGGGCAACATAGGTTGTATCAAAAGGATTTTCTAGATCCAAGTAGATCTGACTTTTTGCATAAGATCTAGTTTCTTTAAAAAAAAACAAAACTAGTAAAGAATATTACTTTAAAAAAATCCAATTGATAGGCAAAAATAGTCATACTTAGCATGACCAGAATCCTTTGCGTCATTGATTACGTCACTAAGACTGCACACAACTAGAGAAATTTAGAAACAGTGAAAGATATCCAAACTACTGATTCTAGCATAAAGTTTAGAAAAATCTGAATTTGGGACTGAAAGAGCAGGAAATATTTCCCTCATGAAAAAAAGCAGCAAGAGTTTAGTGTCCTATGTCACTATGCACAGACTGTACAAAATAAACTGGCAATGTGTTCAAGAGACAGGCATAAAGAACACTGAAAGCTGGCAAAGAAAAATAAAGCAGAGCTAAAGAACACAGTTTCATCAATTACTGTCATGAGTTACAGAAAAATCAAACACCTACTCCATGAAACATGGATATATGCACAGCTTATTTTTCAGAAGAACTAGCATGTTGAAACATTCAAAAAGAATGGCTGGGATCAATTATAATGAAATACTAAAAGAGAAGCTAGTAAGAGAAATCACTATAATCATCAGAAATAGAGGTGGCATACAAAAGCCTTCAGATATTTATACAGTTTTACGCCATTCATATAAACAGAGGCAAGTTTAAGAGAGATTACATTATGTTGCGCAGAGTTTTCTCAACTTAAGCCAATTTGCACCTTTGTCCTGTCATTTTCAGAGGGAAATTGGCAATTGTCATCCATACGACCAAGTAAATGCCCATTCACACTAGGAACTGCACCTGCTTCACAGGCAATTCATATTTTAGTAAGAACTTTCTCCCTTCCCAAACTTAGAAAGTTGTATTTAAATAAAAATGAAATCGCTACAGTTTAAAGAAAGGACTGTAAAACCTTGATCAACATGTTCCATTCTTGCTAAGAAGCCTTCTATTTGGGGGCAGTGGGCAGGATACACAGATGAGCAAGATTAAAATACATTTATTTGATAGAATTGCATCTCTAGCCACCTTCCTTTTCCCTTGCATGTAATCTACTTCTCCACACACGAGTATGTTAATACATACAGAAAAACACAACCAAAAACCACAGGAAAGTGGCAGAAAGGCTCAGAGGCAAGTTTTGTAGCCAAAACAACTTTCAACCACTTCTAACCGACTGCAGTTCAAGAGTGAATATCTTTTTCAGTGACAGAGAAACACATCTGAAATACAATTAGAGATTCAGATGCAAGAAAACAATTCATGTCATTGCTGCAAAAATTCTTCACCTTTGAGGTAGGTGTTCTGCTTAAAAAAAAGTAAATGAAATGATTCTGAAAAGGACTTCTTACAAGTCTTTTGCTATTGTTGCAGTACATTGCTGTTAAAACCACTAACTTTCCTTGTCTAATCATTCCAATTTAAAAAAAAAAAAAAAAACACACACCTACAACACCCTGGCCTGCCACATTGCTATTTTCTGAAGAACCTGTCTTAAAGGTTTGCAAGCGTCTACACCAAATTTCTGTGAGGCAGTCCATTGGCATCAGTGGTATGTTCCTTCAGAGAGGAAGGGGAAATAGAAGTGTTCTATCAAGTACAAGAACTTTGGGATTCCAGGATCTTATGGAGCTTTGAAGCGTTCATCTGAAACTCTTGCTACCTCTAAATAAGCATCTTATGCTATATGTACACCATATATATATATGACATATATAGGTCCCTCTCAGTAATTGATCCTGTAGATAGAAGACACAGTAAGTAAAGAAATCTGATGATCATATCTATTTTGCCAGGTAAACATGGTGCTTCTCTTGCACCACAGCACCCATGGCAGGTACTTAGACCAAAAAAAAAAAAAAAAAAAAGATCACTCACAAAATAATCTGCATTCTTTCCAGACTTGTAGAACAAGCATGTAGCCTAGCAGAATAGTTGGCAACACCACAAAACACTTCAAAAACTGCAAAAGACAATAGACAAAAGGGATACACGGTGCAGGCTGTATACTGTTCCAGTGCTCCGTCACCCTCACAGTAAAGAAGTTAGTAGTTAAAGTTAGAAGAACTTAGTTAGTAAAGAAGCCCAGAGGTGAGGTCCAGAGGAGAAGAATAAAGAAAAACCTAAATATAGAATAAATATTAATTATATAAATAATAAATATAAAGAAAGAAGAATATAGAAAAGCCTAAAATACAATCCACTTTGCAGCACTGTCTCTCTTGGCAGTAGCATGCTCTCTCACTACAAGTGAGGTAGAGAAAGGCAGCCTCAATGCTTTAAATAGCGATACTGTCTCTGCTTGCTTTTCCCTTACCTTAAACACTGGTAAATTTAGTTGGCTGGAAACAGATAGTTTAATAGTTATATTCACCAAGAAGAAAATCAGGGCTGTTGTCCTTCAAATTTTACTACTTCTTGCAGTTCTTCTGCAACACTGCAGTATCTACTGTCCTCCTCAGCATAAAAACAGGAGCCAGTATCTACCAGAAAACAGTATGAGTCTTCATTTTCAAAGACAGTTTCTAGCTGTCATAATGGCAAAGAAAAGCTTGAGAAGCCTAAGATAAACATATCCAAAACGGTCAAATAGTTCAAAAAGCAAAAGACTGCTAAAGCCAGTACTTCTCAAAGTCTCATAACTAGGTCAACAAAGACTGCAGAAAGTATATTGGCAAGAAATATTGTCAATAACACCAGCATGAGTTCATTTGCAAAAATGGAATTTATCAATAGAATCTCATCTAGCTCCTTCCACATTGCGTTTATCTCCAAATTAAAAATTATCTCGTGCATTTCTTTACCACCCATGTTCCTCAATGTATTGGGGTCAGCATGTCCCTCTCAGGGCTAGGAGCTTCAATACACTGAAAACAAAACAGGGCCAAACATTATAAAGCTCATCATCAGTCCTTAAGGCAAATTAAACATATACTAGGTGTCTTCTCTCACATGTTCAACTTGGAGAAGACAAAATTTTATTCTCATATTGACCACAATGCAGCTTCTATCGTTGCCACACTACCAGGCTTGCAAATCAGGAGCCAAAGATTAAGACACAAGAAATAAAGTAGGAAGTAAAAATGGATTTATTATCTTCCAGCATAAATTTATACCGTGCAGTTTCTAGATTTTTCACTAAATTAACAGGAAGCAAGAATTTAGAACTCTTTAGAGTTCTAAAGTGGTAAGAACACATGTATGCTATATAACTACTTTCAGTATACTATCTAACTACATCTAAGAAAGGACTCTTCCAGTTTAAGTTTATCCATGTAATTAAAGAAGAATAGTTTTGTGTATGAAGACCACAGTGCTATTTTTAAAGCAAAAGCTCAGGGGTTCACATCACTGCTTAAACTCAGAAGCAAAAACTTTTTCTTGCCCTGAGAAAGACTCATATTCTAAATATCCCAAAACATGACCGATTACTAAGAATGGTTATTCCAAACAGCAACGCATACACTGGGGGAAAGAAACTCGGTTTTGCCTCTTCCCACTCCCTGATTTGCAACTGCAAGTATGCAACTCCCACCCCCACAAACACCTCTCTACCAGCAAGACAGAAGGGCACTTTCTAACGCAGGAAGACGTGAACTGCTTCTACTGGTTTCTCCCTTAGACCTGAACTATGAAATAGCACGCAGACTTTAAGGCCGAAAAGGGCCGCTCTCTAGCTCCAGGCTCACTCACTCCCCGTTAAAGTTTTCCTCTTCTAACTCAAGTCAGCGCTCGCATCCCCCGAGGGTCGCTCGGACGCGTACTCAGGACGACGATTTCGGGAGCGCTACCGCGCGCTAGCAGTTACCCGGTGCGGAGCACCGCCG